TACTATTAAGTCTTGAGGAACTCTCAAAAGCATGTGTACAACTCATTATTATTGGTAAAGAAAACCAAAAGGTATGAACAACGTTCTCTATGCACAATGAATAATAATATCTGTATAGTTCCAGAAAGACTTATTATATCATGGACAAAAGTAAATGTGTTATGAAATAATGGTTAATTATGATTCTCTGTGCCACAGATGGTTTCTCACTGCCACTTGAGCCTACATCAAGTCTGTCCCCCATGGAAACAAGAAAAAATAGGAGGGGAAATGTGGAGTGCAATAATCCTAAGATTAATCATGGGAAGTAAATTGCTATCTCTGTAGCAATAACAACATGGAGGTATTATTTCTTCATTTAATGAACAAAAGGGGGGAAGATGTGGTAAAAGTATAAAATTGAATTTGAAAGAAATTAAGGGTATAGAAACATAAATGAAAAGAGTAGAAAAAATAAAATAAGAAAGCACATCCATGGATCAACATTTTCTTACATTTCAAAAAATAGGCCTTCAGAATGTAAAGCCATTTTTTTTGCAAGAGCAGAAAAATAAGAACTGCATCAGAAATTTCTAATAAAGGATAATGTACCTATAAATTCATGGCTTATTATTTCATTGCAAGGGTTCTGAATGCTTGAATGCTATTCAGCAATCATTTCTCTTAGCCCTAGACCAGTAGTTTTTAACCCAGGCTACATATTAGGTTCAGCTGGATAGCTTTAGGAACTATTCATGCACAGACCCAACGCTCAGATATTCTGATAGAACTGGTTTGGGATTAGTACACTGGAATTCTTTTTAAAGGTCCTCAGGTGATTCTAATAGGTAACTATGGTTGAGAACCATTGTCTCATTAGGGATCAACACACACTTTTTGGAAAAGGGCAGGATAGTAAATAACCTAGGCTTGTAGGCCACAGAGTCTCTGTTACAACTATTAAACTCTGCTGTTATAGCACAAGAGCAGCCATAGACAATATGTAAATTAATGGGGTGACTGTGTTCCGATAAAACTTTATTTACAAAACAAGCAATAGGCCTGATTTGGCCCATGGGCCATAGTTTACTAGACTAGTTCCTCTTCTTATTCTCAAAACAAGTATTCTAAACATTCACTAATGCCATCCCTATGTCTCTGATTTTCAGCAGATGGCCTCTCATTCTATTTCAATGGGAAAATACAGGTCATCTGGCTGGAAATCCTTCAACTTCCTCATCCATCACCTGCAGACTTCCACACCTACATCTGCATCCGTCCTCATATCTTTGCCTCCTGTTGTAGCAGTAAGCCTTCTTTTCAAAGTGAATCTAATCCTTTCACTTATACTCAATTCCATCACTCTTCTGGACTCCTTTGGAACCCCACTCCATAAAGAATCCCATTTCCTATGTCTTTAATTTCTCCCTCTCTACTGGTTCTTTCCCTTCTGCTAATAAATATATTCAACTGTCCTAAGCAAAGAACCACCAAAGCCTTTCACAATCCTGTGTCCTCCTCTACATACTCATCCATAGCTCCCCTTGCCTTAAAAATTCTACACACACTGCCTCTACCTTCTCTTTTCCCACTCACTCCACAAGCCACTAATCTGGCTTCTGTCTCCACTGAAAGTGCTCTTGTCAAGATCACTGAAGACCTTCATATGGTATAGTATTAGTTCTCATTTTACTTCTTTTCTCTAAAGCAGTTGGCATTGCTGACTGTTTGGAAAACTCTCTTTGTTTAGCTTTTGCAATACCGTGATATCTACCACAATTAGTTCTGCGACTGTTTGCCACTTCCATGCTATTATTTGCTAATATTATAAATTCTTTTTTCTTCTTATGCTACATATCCTCTGAACTATTCTCATGGCATCAACCACAACCTACATGTGATAATTCCCACTTTCTATCTCTACCTCACATCTCTTTCTCTAGCTATGGGTTGTACTCAGGTATCTTCTTTCCCAATTCTGCCATTTTTCCTTTGCTCTTCATCTTGGTTAATAACTTCACCATCAATCCAATTGCCAAAGGTGAAATTCTCCCTCTCCCTCAGGGCCCCTACCAACCTACTATTGTGCAAATTAAAAAAAATCTTTTCCTGAAGATATTTTATTTCCACATGTGTAGTGAGTGGCAACCATACATATTCAACCATCCATGGTAGTCCTGTTTTCCTTCCAAATCCAATAAGTCACTAAATTCTGATGATAATTCTACCTCTAAAATATCTTCTGAATCCATCTTCTTTCAGATTTTGCTACTGCAAATGCTTTAAGGTAGACTTTTATCACCCCTCACCAAGATTACTTTTCAAAAACTTTCTTACTTTTTTTTTAATTGTCCACATCAGTAGCTCCTACTTCATTTTCTTACTTTGTTTCCTCCTTAGGTTATCATCATATTCTATTTTCTCTTTGCTAAGTGGCAGCTAACAAAACTGCATACAACATTTCAGTAGCAGATACTGTGGTTTTATGTAAGGGAATAATGATCCTTCCTCTTCCAAATGAAGCATGACATTCATTTAACTTTTTGGTCACAGGGACACAAGTTGCTGAAGTCATTAAAACAGACTATATCTTAAGAGAGTCTGGGAGCACACTTCAAATAAGATAACAAAATGGAGCACCCACTGAGGATAGTGATCAACGTGGTGAAGGGAGTCCAAACCAAGATCAATAGGAGGTGTGAAAAGAACTGAAAAAAATGTATGCTGAAAAGAAGACTAATTCTTTCCTGGAGCAGACTAATTTGGATAATTTTTCCCTATGTAAACTCCAGGATTATCAATCATACATCTTTCCTCCTTTACAAAAACACAGTTCACTTTCCTTACTAGCAATTGCTTACTTAAGATTCCTTTTCCTTAATAGAAAATTCACACAGCATCCCACATGTGCTCTCTATTGGCCTGCCCAACATGGAAAGGAATCCTGTCAATCCACAATATTGATTCCCCTGGGAAGCCTTAGAAATGAACTCACACTGACATTTACCAGTTTATTGGAATAATGGTCAATTTGAATGGTAGGCTATACATTTTTTATTTTATTTTATTTTTTCCATCACCATTTATCCCCTCTATGGCCTCTTCAACCTCCTACAACCCCTCCCCCCATCCTCTCCTCCTCAGAGTGTTGTCCATGTCCATGAGTTATCTCTCTTTTTTTTTCTTTATTGCTCAACCTCACCCCATCCCAACTCAGAGCTGTCTGCCTGCTCTCTATCTATGAGTCTGTCTCTATTTTGCTTGGTACTTCAGTTTGTTCATTAAATTCAACATATGAGTGAAATCATATTACTTGTTATGCTAAGTGAAAAAAGTCAGTCAGAGAAAGATAGGCTATACATTTTTAATGTAGTTCTCTCAAGGTAATACTGAAAACCCTAATTTTCTTGAATGGGGAAACCTGACATACTACCTAACTTAAATGACATTTTTTCTCATTCTAACTTAAATATTATTTCCATTTTTTAAAAAACTGTATTGTTGCAAGATTTAAAAATGTCAACATTTCTCATCATGGCACTATAATGGTGACCACAACTCAGTTAAATTATTTCCTGGAAATTATTTCCTATGCCATCTGTTATTTATCTTCTCAAAAGTATGCCCAGTATATTCCATTTCCTTCCCATGCCAAAATACGAGTTTCAGAAAGTAGTTATTTATTTTATTAAAAACCTACCTTTGAATCTGGTCCTGTTGAGGTAGTCTATTGATCTGAATGAGGTTAATTAAAATCCTTCATTATTAAATTATCTTACCTTGATGCACAAATCTGAAAAGCAAATCCCTTTCCTATTGTTTACGTTAATAGCAATGTATTAATAAACTTTGCAATAAATCAAAATCTCTTTCATTTGTAAAAAGAATAAATCCCCTGCATTTATTAAACAAGACAGTTAAAATGGCCTGATAGGAATATTGATAGTGACCAGGCTTTGAGGATTATGCAATAAATAATCTTTTATCATGGTAATATAAAATGGACTACTCAGTTTACTTAATGAATGGGCCATTTGTGGTCTTACTCTTCTCCAACCTTTCTTTCCCATCTCACAGTCTCTATATGCCTGGCTTTGAAATACATTGTGGACACATGACAGAGCAAGAGTAGTTAAAGGAAACCACTTTTGCATTTGGAGAAATAGATTTCTAAACTCCTGGTAATAGCCTCCATCAAGGCTATCTAGTCAAAGTTTTACAAGGAGTTTTCTCCATTTTTAACATACTACCCTTTTCTTAAAATATATGAAATTCAAAACAAAGATTTAAAATATTCATATATTAAGTGGCCCCTTATAATTTGTAACTAGATCTACTGATAAGAATGAAATCCTAAACCTGGTATTATGCCATTTCTTTCTATACTTAAATATTTTTTTTAAATGCCCTTAAATTTTAATTTGGCCCCATGTTGCCAATACTGAATTGTTATCTACAATGTTTATAAATTTTTTGGAAAAAGTTCCATTTTTTACTATGTTCATTATAAATTTGCAAGAAAAAGGTAAGCACAAAATTTTTGTACAAAGAGGTTGAACTGTGCTTGATGAAATAATAGTATTTAAAATAGACATAGCAAATGTGAAATAATTGAACTGAAGATAAGAAACAAAAGCACATCTAGAACTGTTCTTTATGTCCTCGACCTGATCTGAGAAAGAAGTCTCATCAGCTTCTTGAGAAATAAACATGAATAAATATATGTTGCACTGAGCTATAGAAATGGCTTTCCCACAGGCTGCAAGGCAGGGTAGCTACATAAAGCAATAAACCAATGCCACTGTATGCAAAAATGTTCAGTTGATCCTTGATTTTACACCCAAAATGTTAGCTTCAAATGATTAATTAGTAATACATGTAATTTTCACTGGAAGTTAATTTCTCCTTTCAAATGAGATATTTCCACCAAGAACACTCTTTCTTAATACATATGCAGCATATTTTATTTCATATCAGATAAAAACTATAACAGTCAAAGCATGGCTCAGTGAAAGGCTTACCGAAGTGTACAGGTATCCCTCGCTGTTCATTGCCAAATACAGCTTTGTTTGAACTCCTTGAATAGCCACCACTCGAAGTCCCACAGGGATGAGGTTAAACAGAGCTGAAATTTTTAAAAATGTAAAAACAATGTTATATTCTGAATTCCATAGGTTTCAAAGTTTCCAAAAGCACTATCTGGTTCAGCAAAAAGAGATGTGTGCTTGGTAAGAAAATACAGATACTGTATATATTTATACACATGCAAATATATAGGGCCTCTTCTACCCTTTAGGATACTTGACTCATAGTTGCAGTCACATGACTTGGACTATAACTACATATACTCAAACACCCTGGAAAAATGGAAGATAATTCCATAGTTTGTATAGTATTGAAGGTGGGGAATCTTAAATCTTCTGGAGTGATTCCGTTACAGGAATTGATCTATACATTAAATAGCTTTATCCTCAACAGACTAACATTTTAATCTGCTCCTTAGACAACTGCTGAAGTTCACAGAGGCAGTAACAATCTACCACTTGGGGAAACATTCCTAGAATCTTAGAAAAGACAAGAGTCCAATTACCTCATCTAAATTATCTGTATTATTTCCATTGCAACAACCCAAAAATAAATGAAGGCTTTGAAAAAAAAAAATGTATTTTTACTCCTGTGTTCCCAGAGTAGTATTTCTTAAAGAACAAACATTTTCCAAGATAGGGTTTATACGGGTCCTAGCTTTTAATCTCTAGGAGCAAAGCTTATAGGGATAAAAAATAATGAACTTGATAGGTTTACTTATTTTTAATTAATTAATTACTTTTTGCAAAATAGTTGTAAGTGGGCAGCCAGCTGATGACAACGAGGTCTTCATTTCTCCATTTTAAGGTTTGACTGCGTGAAACTTACACCCATGCTCTCCTCACAATCACACACCACTCACTGGAGAAAACCAGTGGGTGTCCTCCCCCTACCAGCTGTCTACTCCCTCCTACACCCTGAATAAAAATAAAACAGTACAATTTTTAAAGCGTAGTGTATGCCACACACATCTTTTGAAAATAGTCTATGCACCTTTCTTTCAAGAGACCTAGACCAATGTTGATGATTTTTGTCTTGGGGAAGATGATAAATCTGTCTGCTATCATTTCTGTGAATAAGAATATATAAAGGAGTCATACCATGGGTAAGAACATTTTTTTCTATCTCTTGTCTTGCTGCATATAGATTCTGCTCTAGTAGATGGGGTCATATGGATGAGAAATATTAAGGAACAACTAAACATTTCTCAGTGAGCCTACAATGTATCTTTCCCTTAAAATCAGAGTGCTACCAAAGAGGAGCTAGGACATATTGTACAGTTCAAAATACAAGTGTTCCTACCACATGTCACTGATGGTACTGCATTTAATACTCATCATATTAAAGCTGTGCTCTTCTGTTATATGAGGTAAAGGAAAGTAATTGCACAGATTGCAAGCCAGGATTTCATGCTATATTTGACAATGCAATGAACAGAAAAGAAGCCTGAGATCTTTAAGCATGTCATGTATATCTCTTTCTGTTGAGAATGCCTTGCTCAGAGTAGGTTCTCAACACCCATTTGTAGATTGATAGCAATTTGTATGGTGCAACAGGATATTATATTTTTGGAAAGTAATAAATCACAATCCCATCATATAAAAGTTCATAGTTTACGAATTCTGATATTAAAAAAAAAACTAAACCAAACCAAAACCTCAATATGGGTTTAGTTTAAAAGCCATACTACTAGACAACTACACCACCAACATATGTATGAATCCTAGCTTAGTCATACTAAAAGATGACAGAGTATGATAAATAAAATCCACAATTTTTTCTAGAACTTCACTTTTTACAATATTCTGAACCTCCTTAGTGCTCTTAATGCTGCTTATAACAAGTGGAGAGAGACTGATTTGATTTTCACTGTGTACCCCAGCCACTTTCTGGTGTGGGTTCTAATGGGCAGAACGCTTAAATTCCAAACATCAGATAGTAGTAGAAGGAAGAGAAGTAAAGAACAATAATTTTATCCCGAATAATGTTATTAACTATATAGTAAATATAAATTTTTCACTAGGTATCATAAACTTCTATGAAGCCTAATTCAAAAACAAAAATCATACTCAAAGAAAAAATTGAAGACAGTAGCAAAAGCAGAGAATGGCTGGTCATACTACTCCAATCTTTTCTGTAGGCATTCAAGATAGATCATGAACTGGGTTGGTTTAAAATCTGTCTAAAGGACCAGTCTTTCCAGATAAAAATGCAAAGAAATTTTATTAGGAGTGAGCTTGGACAGCATCAATATTTTTCTTTATGTCTCTATTTCTTTAAATCTGGATTACTTCCTCATGAACTTAAGATATTATTTTGATTAGGATAAACCTATTCTAAATGAGAAATAAATAATTGATTTAATTTGTGTATCTAAACACATTATTAAATACCGAAATTCCATTTTCTTTAAAGTTTTGAAGAAGTTTTTAATAAGAAGCTGTTGTTTTTTGTCCTCTGTTGTGTCTACATAACAAAAATTAAACTCCTTGTACATTGCAGGGACCATTTTCTCAGAGATGTGCACACAGTTGGCACTCAGTGTTTCTGAAATCAACAATGAGGTCATCCTTTCAGTTTGGCTAAGGTCAATTTCTCAAAGGGAGTAGTTAATAAAAATATACCCTAATGAAGGTTGGAAAAACCTGACATACTGAACTGGTAATACTACTGTAGGCTTGAAGAGAAAGTTGCCTATTCTATTAATATAGCTCTCACTGCACCCAAGGCAGATATAATAAAACTGCTGCCATGAAATGTCTATCATTTTTTTTTCCTTTTCAGGGAGAAATGCATAATTTACAAGGGCTGATTTGCTCATGATGAGATTTTATTGGATGGACATTTATCATTATAATAAATCTACCTGAGGTCATCTTAAATGTATAATACCAAACATATGTTTTTAGAAATAAATGTATCTGGATAAACGTTAACTGATCTGTTTTGGCATCATCTTGCTTACCATCTCAGAATTAAATATAAAACAAATCAAATTAAACTAAATGAGAAAAGTATGATTAAAAATACTAAAAATTAGAAAAATCTATACATATAAAAAGCCAGCGACCAGAACGCTGTAACAACCAGAACGACTGGTCACTATGACGCCCACTGCGACCAGCGAACCCACTGATGGGGATTGTGTGTGGCCTGCCATCCAACCTCCCGTGGCCCCTCCCCATTGCTGGCCCATCCCTGATCAGCCTCGCCCACCCCAATCAAGGGTGGGGTGCTGACCACCCCCCCCAAAACCCCTTCCCCAGGCCGGTGCAGACCCTGATCACCCTCCTACCCCAATAGGGAGCAGGGCCTGCCAGCCAACATCTTGCAGCCCCTCCCCCTGGCCGGCCCCACTCCA